ATTTCTTCACATCCTCACCAACACTTGTTATTGTTTATTTTAAAAATTACAATTATCCAGGACTTCCCTGATCTAGTAGTTAAGACTCTGTGCTCCCAATGCAGGGGGCACAGTTTCAATCCTCGGTTGGGGAACTAAGATCCCACATGCCTCATGGCCAAAATACCAAAATATAAAACAGAAGGAATACTGCAGAAAATTCAGTAAAGATTTTAAAGATGGTCTACATTTTTTTTAAAGTCTTAAATTACAATTATCCCACCATGTGTGAAATGATACCGCATTGTGGTTTTCACTTGTGTTTCTCTGTTAACTAGTTGAGGTTGGGTATCTTTTCACGAGCTTGTTAGCCATTTGCAAATCTTCTTTGGAGAAATGTGTATCCAAATCTTTTACCCATTTTTAAACTTACAAATGTTTTCTTCCATTCTGTAGAGAAATTTTTTACTTTTTTTCTTTCTTCCTTTCTTTTTTTTTTCCAGCTGTGCTGCAACACTTGTGGGATCTCACTTCCCTGACCAGGGATTAAACCCCAGGCCATGGTGGAATCCTAAGCCCTAGGCCACTGGAGAAACTCCTTTTTACTTCTTTATGGTGTCTTTTGGAGCACAAAAGTTTTAACTTTGATGAAGTCCAATTTATCTATTTTTTTCTTTGGTTGCTTGTACCTTTGGATTCATATCTAAGAAACTATTGTTTAATCCAAGGTTATGAAAATTTACATCTACACTTTAAGAGTTTTAGAGGTTTCACTCTAACTTTAGGTTTTTGATTCATTTTGAGTTAATTTTTGCACATGATGTGAGGTAGGGGTCCAACTTCATTTTTTAGTATGTGGCTATCCCATTGTCTTAGTACCATTTGTTGAAAAGACTTTTCTCTCCTCATTAAATCATCTTTGCATTCTCGTGGAAAATTAATTGTCCATAAATGTATGGATTTATTTCTGGACCCTCATTTCTATTCTATTGATCTTTATATCAAGCCTGTGCCAGAACCACAGTCTTGATGATTATAACTTTGTAGTAAGTTTGGAAATTAGGAAGTGTTAGTCCTTCAACTTTGCTCATTTTCAAGAAAAAGGACCCCTGGCACTTCCACTTGAATTTTCAAATCAACTTGTCAACTGAGGCAAAAATCCTGCTAGGATTTTGATAGAGATTGTGCTGAATCTGTAGACCAATTTGGAGAGTCAGTTCAGTTCAGTTTAGTCGCTCAGTTGAGTCCGACTCTTTGCAACCCCATGGACTGCAGCACGCCAGGCCTCCCTATCCATCACCAACTCTGGAGTTTATCCAAACTCATGTCCATTGGATTGGTGACGCCATCCAACCATCTCATCCTCTGTCGTCCCCTTCTCCTCCTGCCCTCAATCTTTCCAAGCATCAGGGGCTTTTCAAATGAGTCAGCTCTTCACATCAGGTGGCCAGAGGATTGGAGTTTCAGCTTCAGCATCAGTCCTTCCAGTGTACACTCAGGACTGATCTCCTTTAGGATGGACAGCTTGGATCTCCTTGCAGTCCAAGGGACTCTCAAGAGTCTTCTCCAACACCACAGTTCAAAAGCAATTCCTCGGCGTTCTGCTTTCTTTACAGTCCAACTCTCACATCAATACATGAGTACTGGAAAAACCATAACCTTGACTAGACGGACCTTTGTTGGCAAAGTAATTTGGAGAGTACTGTGATCTTATTAAGTCTGACAATCCATGAACACAGGTATTTTTCCATTTATGTAGGTCTTCTTTTGTTTCTTTCAATGACATTTTGGAATTTTCAGTGTAAATTATTGCACTTTTTTGCTATATTTTGTTAAATTACTAAGTGTTTTATTTATTTTGATGCCATAGTCGATGAATTTTTAACATAGATGGCTCTTACTATTTAGGGACCAGTTTGTACCTGCTTATTTCACTTCAATCATATCATAGACATTTCCCCAAAATTACTAAGAATCCTTCTTCAAATTCATTTTTTAAGACTATGTATTAGTGCACTGTATAGTTCCACTCTTTGAGCAAACTCTGGGAGATAGTGAAGGACGGGGAAACTGGTGTGCTGCAAAGGGGTCATGAAGAGTCAGACATGACTTAGTGACTGGGCAATAAGCAACAGTGGTTCCACTGTAAGTAATTTAGCCATTCTCCTGTTGTGGAAATTTTAGTTTCTTTAATTTTTTTTCCATTTTATAAATATTCCTGTAATAAATATTTCTGCTGATCTTTCTATGTCTGCATTTCAGATTATTTTCATATAAGTAGTAATGGCCCCTTCCACCACAAAAGAACACAGCAAGAAGTTGCCAGATATGAATCAGGAAAAGGGCCCTCACCAGAAGGTCATCAACCTAGTGCCTTGATCTGGGACTTCCCAGCATTCAGAACTGAGAGGGGCCACGATGGAGGAGTAGAAAGACCCTGAGCTTACCTTTACCTTGTAAAGCTCATTCTTGTTCTCTCACAATGACTTTTATTTTGTACAACTCTTGTGAAAAGTTTGAGACCCCCTGAAATTTTGAACTCCTGGAGGCCCATTTCTCCTTTTGCAACCCCACATGGCCCCCAGGGACCGGCCTGCAGGGGCCCTGCCGTCTCCTCTTACCCCCACAGCACTGTGTTCTGGCCTTGCCACAGCTCTCCTCACTCACTGATATAAGTTCATGGTAACTTGTTACACCCCTACATGATCGAGAGGCCCAACAGAACAAGAGCTGGACCTTTAGTCCTTGGTCTATAGAAGACCCTTAATAAATGTTTATCAAATGAGTGAGCCAGGCAGAGCAGGAGTTCTAGGCCAGTGCTAGGCCAAGTTCCTAGGCCAGACTCGGAATCTTGAGTCAACAAGTTATATTGTTGTTGTTGTTCTGTTGCTTCGACTGAACAAGCCGTGTCCGACTCTTTGTAACCCCATGGACTGCAGCACTCCAGGCTTACCTATCTTTCACTATCTCCCAGAGTTTGTCCAAACTCATGTCTGTCAAGTAGATGATACCATCCAACCATTTCATTCTCTGTTGCCCCCTTCTCCTCCTGCCCTCAATCTTTACCAGCATCAGGGTCTTTTCCAAGAGTCAGTTCTTCTCATCAGGTGGCCAAAGTACTGGAGCTTCAGTTTCAGCATTAGTCCTTCTAATGAATATGCAGGGTTGATTTCCTTTAGGATTGACTGGGGACTCTCAAGAGTCTTCTCCAACACCACAGTTCAAAAGCATCAATTCTTCGGTGCTCAGCTTTCTTTATAGTCCAACTCTCACATCCATACATGACTACTGGAAAAACCATAGGTTTGACTGTATAGACCTTTACAGAAAAGTGACGTCTCTGCTTTTTAATATGCAGTCTAGTTTTGTCATAGCTTTTCTTCCAAGTAGCAAGTGTCTTTTAATTTCATGGCTGCAGTCATTGTCCGCAGTGATTTTGGAGTCCAAGAAAATAAAGTCTGTCACTGTTTCCATTTTTTCCCCCATCTATTTGCCATGAACTGATGGGACTGGATGCCATGATCTTAGTTTTCTGAATGTTTAATTCAACAAATTATGGCCATTAGGTTTTCAGAATGGCCAACAAAGAGTATGCTGAACAGAAATTGTGTGCTGAAAAGGGCCCTTGCCCTATTCATGAGTTTTCAAACTTCTTTTATGACCACAGTATAATATGTAATATTAGATAGACAGGGGAGATAGAGTGAGGAAATGGTGGAAATTGAAACCCTATCTATGGAATTTTCTCAGTGGCCCCTGAGACACTACAATAAAACCAAGTTTGTAAAGATGATTGCACTAGTCCAACATTCTAATTTTACAGACTAGGGAAAGGTTGCTCTTGAGCAGGAAAAGCATTCAGATCTGACTGCCATTCACGAAATGTTCCTCTATTGAATCCAACCTCTGAACAGTATATTTGAAGCATTCCACATCACTTATGAAAGCATCTAAAAGCCCACTAACCAAGATCCATTGTTTAAAGTATTGTTCCCACGTAGCATATTTTAAAAGTAAAATTAATTTCATGTTAAAAAAAAAAAAACCTTACTGGAATGAGCTAGTAAGACAAGCTGAGTTGTCACAAAGCTTGAGTGAAGCGGCAGCTTTTCTCTTTGAAGATCCTACGGGGGGGGGGGGGGGGGGGCGCTAAATTACCGTAAATATTGATATAGGGACGCAAAAAGGGAAAACTTTTTTTTCCCCTTCAGATTTTAGTTCCTGGGTGGCTCAGTGGACCCTAAGAACACTGTGGGGATGAGAGGATGTGCAACCTCTCTTGCTGACTTCTTTGCAATATGTTCTTTCCCTCTCCTGCTCAATGGATTCTCATATTTACAAGGCAAGTCTTAACTCCTCAACCTGTCATGCATTCCGGTATTTTGCCTCTCCAGTCCCACTCGAGCTTCCAACTTTGTTTGGGCTAGACAAAGTGCTCCTCGAAGTCAGGGCTCGTGTCTTATGCATCTTTGTATCACTAGTAGCAAAGAACAGGTCCTGGCACACAGTGGTGAATCAAAATGTGTTTGATGAACCTATTGAAACCTCTTACCTCCAGGATTTTATTTAAAAAAAAATCTGTCCCCGCAGGCTGAGTATTCATCCCCTGAATTATTAATCACCTTAGAGGTACTACCTCCTTCTTTGCCTCCACGAATCTCTCAGGCCACTCTCGATGCTTTCACCTAAAATTTTCCACTCTCGTATTTGTGCCTGGGACTAGTCAATGTCGGACCCAAAGCTATTCTCCCCACCCCAATAGAGCCAAGTAGGACTGAAGTCCCTTAGCTGCTCGGGGCCTGCTGGGAGGCATTAAGTAGAATACCTCGCTAATCTCCTGAAATGGGCTTGCTCTGGGGCTGAGTTTCTATGGCAACCATAAAGTAAGCCTGCCTCTCCGATACAGTTATTCGGGGACCACAGAGACTCAGTTCCAGTGTGCATCTCTATGGTTTCCGTAGCCTAGAAGGGTCTAAACAGCACTTCCGGGAAGATGGCTGCGCACAAGTCACGTCTGTCACATGTTTCTGCGGAGAGGACCTCGCAATGATGGTAAGGGGCTTCAGTCCCCCGAATGGTGACTGTTGTCGCCCGGGCTCAGGAGCAAATGTGACAGAAGGGGAATAGTTTTACCCAAGTGAAGCTGCGGTCGGAGGGCTGGAGTTTTAACCTCCACAGGAAGGAACCCTAGGGAGAGGAGCCAGCTGTTTAGAACCTCTGTAAGAGTGGTAGCCCAGGGCCCCTTCTCCAGAAAACTCAGGTTGACTGGAAAGAAAACAGTTCCTGAAAGTGTGCTCACAGCCTTCTCAAAGACTGCGGAGCACAGCCTGGGATCTAGCTTCTCTCCACAGCTATCTGTTCTAGGTCGGTTAAGGAAATTCCTCCCTGTGTTATTCAGTTCAACAGTTAAGGACTGAACGCATTCAGGAGCTGCATTAAGTGCACCAGGGGTTGGGGAATAGGACCAAGCATAGGCTATGGTATATAATATAATTTCGAATTAATGCGACAAGGCATAGGCTGTGGTAAGTCTTAGAGTTTAAAGCATAAATGGCTATGAGCCTGTGTGTAGTGATTGAGAACACCAGTTCTGGAGTGCCTGAGATCCTAGATCCGCTACCTAACCAGCTATTAGATTTGTGCAAGTAGCTAAACTTCTCAATGCCATTTCTTCAGTTGTAAGTTACAGTAAAAACACCTCCTGGGAATTCCCTGGTAGTCCAGTGGTTGGGACTCTGCACCTTCACTGCGGAGGGCTGGAGTTCAGTCCGTGGTTGGGGACCTAAGATCCTGCAAGGAACCCGGGGCAGCCAAAACAAAAACCCAGAACACTTCCCAGTGGGGTGGTTGGAAGGATTAAGTGAGATAATATGTGTGAAACAGCTAGCAACAGGCTGGCATTGAATAAATGCATAAGTGTTCGTTGTTCTTGTTATAATAGATCAGAAATAACTTCTGAGAAGAGGCAGAGTTTTGAAGTGTCCTTAAAGCCCTCAGTGTTTGAATTTTATTTCTCTTGCAGTATCAAGAAGCAGGATAGGGCAATTTCTTCACTCAGTGCTTCTCTGTTGGGACTCTCAGGGTCTCAGTTATATTTTCAGGTAATCATCCTTCAAAGTAGAAATGTGAACAGAAATGTGAGTCATCCTAAATTTGCTACTTTTCATATCTAACCAGACTAGTCATCATTCTTAAGCTTAATATGTAATGTTTAGGAGGGGTAGGTAACCTAATGAGGGGTAGGTAACTTAATGATGTGTCTGATTTTTTTACTAGCGTACTTAGTAAACCTTCTTAAACACAAATGAAAATTTTAGCCTTCAAAGTCCTCACTTGGGGAGGCTAGAGGATTAATCCAGTAGTGCCATTGTTGTTGTTGTTCAGTTGCTAAGTTGTGTCTGACTCTCTGCAACCCCATGGACTGTAACCCAACAGGTTCCTCTGTCCATGGGATTTTCTAGGCAAGAATACTGGAGTGGGTTGCCATTTCCTTCTCCAAGGGATCTTCCCAGACCAGGGAGCAAACCTGTGTCTCTTGTATTGGCAAGCAGATTCTTTACCACTGAGCCATCAAGGAAGCCCCAGTTTTGCCATTGATCAGCTTTTAAAATGGTTCTGCAATGCCTCTAATAAGTGATCTTAATACAAAAGTTAACTTTAGTAACTCAAATCAGCAGTGATTGTCTTAGTTTTGAATGTCTTGTGTAATAAGGCATCTTAACCATTTCAAGGCAAATTTTGATATATAAGTTGGATAATGGCATTGTGGAGTCCAAAAAGGAGGAACACCTGAATGACTATAAAGAAATGCAACTACAGTGGGCCCTTGAACAGCATGAGTCTGAACTGCACGGGTCCACTTATATGTGGATTTTTTTCAATAAATACTACAGTAGCACCATCGTGGTTAGTTGAATCCTGGCATGTGGAAGGCTGAGTATAGAATTTGGGTTTTGGTATCAATGGCAGGTCCTAAAACAAGTCCCCTGCTGATAACTGAGGGTGACTATAGTTGGGAATGTAATAGAAGCAGGGCTACTATACAGTCACGCATCCTGGGCTCATATTTCCAGCTACATCTCTTACCAGCTGTATAAGAAACCAGGCAAGAAAGCGAGACTTGATTTTTCTCCTCTATAAAATAAGGATAATATCTGTCTTACAGAACTGTCGGGGTTAAATGAGACAGTATAACAATGTGTGTAATCCCCCTGTTAAATAAAGAGCACCTTTCTAAGCTGGACAGTTTCAAAAGGGGTGCTCCAATAAGACTGAAAGACAGTGGTGTTGTAGCCCCCACACCAAGTAAGAGGACAGTGTAAATGCTGGGGCACAGGTATAGGATACAGGCTCTATTAAGTACTTCTGTCTTATAACTGGAGGAAGAGATGGCAACCCACTCCAATATTCTTGCTGGGAGAACCCCATGGGCAGAGGAACCTTGTGGGCTATAGACCAAAGGGTCACAAAGAATCACACAACTGAGCACAGACAGATATAACTGAGGTTAACGAACATCTTGTTGCCTTGCTTTGTTTTTAACATGGTAATAAATCATGGGAGATGTTATCAGGTAGCGGTAAAGAGTGGGAATTCTGCAGACCAGCTGCCTGAGTTTGAATTCTACATACATCAGCTGTGTGACCTTGAGCAAGTCACCTAACCTCTTTAGGCTTTGGTTTCCTCATTTGTACAAAAGGATAGTAATACTTTCCTGAATGCAAAGTTTAGGAAATCTTCCTGGACTGGGATTATTACATGAAATGATCCATGCAGAGCCTTAGCAAAGCCCAACGTGTGGTGAGCTCTCCATAAATTTAGGTGTTATCATTAATACCAGTCCTCCTTGACTTTCAGCATGTTGACCCCTCAGTGGTCAGGAAGCTCCCCAAGAACCAGGCCTCCCAGCTCAGTCTCTGCTCCAGCTCCAGGAAAGAATTCTTATAAGAGCAGTCAGGATGGATTTGGTGCATGATTTGAGCACTGTCTCCTTTCCTCTTAAAGGGATGACAGTGACTGTTGCTTCTCCAGTGAGAGCCTGAGGATAGTGACTTTTCTCACCATGAGTATCACCCCCGAGGTCAAGAGTCGGGGGATGAAGTTTGCTGAGGAGCAGTTGCTTAAGCATGGATGGACTCAAGGTGAGTCCCATGGGGCCCCTTCCACATCCCCCAACTCCTTCACTGCCCTTTGCCCAGGGGGAGAGGCATTATCCTGGATTAACCTCTAGGTAGTCTGTTCAACAGAAGAGGAAAAGTTAAAGAGAAAATTTGCAGAAGAAAATTGCTGATATTTTCAGAAAAGGGGAGAAATATGACTGTGGATAGCGAGAAGGAAGTGGCTGAGAGAACTGGGAGTGGGAACGAGATGACCTCTGTCCTGAGAGGATTATGGGAAAAGAGAGTTTGGGCTCAAAGACATGAAGACCGTATGGAGAGGTGCTAGAAAGAGTGGAACTGGGAGGGTTTCTGAGAAGGACAGGGCATGCCCAGTGCTAGGTGTGGGGAATGACAAAGAGTGGCATGTACTGGGGTTGCTTTGTGAGGGCTTAGGGCAGGCAGTGGAATAAGCCAGGTCATTCACTGTCTTCTGCAGGCAAAGGCTTGGGCCGGAAGGAGAATGGTATCACCCAGGCCCTCAGGGTGACGCTGAAGCAGGACACTCATGGGGTAAGACTGGACAGACTGCGGGAGGTCAGTGGGGATGGGAGAAGGGGGCCTTGAAGAAAGGGTGAGGGAGGGGAATGACAAGTCCTGAGTTCATACTTCTCTGGCAGGTGGGACATGACCCCGCCAAGGAGTTCACAAATCACTGGTGGAATGATCTGTTCAACAAGACTGCAGCCAACTTGGTGGTGGAAACTAGGCAGGTATGAGCTCTAATAGTAGGCATGTAAAACACAGGGCCTGGGACACGTGGGGGTGAGGGAGACATGGTACCCATTCACACATACTTCCCCACAGGATGGAGTACAGATAAGACGCCTGTCTAAGGAGACCACCCGTCAGGATCATGCCAAGCCCAACTTGCTGTATCAGAAGTTTGTGAAGGTACTAGAGGCTGGGGGTGAGAGGGCCTATCCCTTTTCCCTTCCCTGGTCTCTTGGGGTCTGAACAATTGCCTTGCATGCCCTACCTGATCTCAGGACTGCCCTAAGAGTAGGGTCCTGTGACTGTCCTTCCTGTTGCTGACCTAGACTGCCCAGATCCTCAGCAAGAATTGAAATCTTCAGGCTGCATGGATCCCTGCCATCTGCTGAGGGGGCTGCAACAGGGAGTGGGAGGTGGGGGACAGTCAGGAGCTGCCAGAGGAGAGCAGGGAGGGGGCATCTATTTCAAAGGACTCAGAAGCCAGAGAGATTATCGGACCCATTGTCTTTTATTTAGCAGATGTGGCCGACAGGGGGGAGGTGGCTCACCGAAGAGCCCACAGGTGGCTAGTAACAATAAAAGCCTGTTCTAGCCAAGGACTAGAACCCAGGTGTTCAGACTTCCCTTTTCTAGCATGCCAGTGGAAGGGAGCTGACATTTAACGACCTTCTCTTACGTGCTTAAGGGCTCTACATGTTACCCAGCAGATCTTTCCCATTCATCTCCGTGGCCATCTTCTGCCCCAGTTCAGAGCATCATCTCCTGCATAATTTCTTTCATAGCCTCATAACTAGCTAGGCTTCTCACTGTAGTCTCAATCCCCATGCCAATCAGTTCATCCTCCACAAAGCATCCAGAGTGTTCTCTGTAAAACACAAGTTTCACTGTGTCACTGGCTCCTCCTTGACCTAGGATGACACAGTCTAAAGGTGTCAAACTGGCTCAGATGGCCCTTCAGGCCTTGTCCTTGCCTTCTTCCCTAGCGTGTTTCTTGCCATCAGGACCTCTATCTACACTTTAGCCAGATTGATTCTGAATCTTTTTCAGGTACCATGTTTTTTCACTTTCAAATTTTTGCATATACTCCGTCTGTCTGGGACATTCTGCTTCCTTTACCTGCTGACCTTTTCCTTGTCTTTCAAAGCTGAGTTACTTGTAGGAACTATTCCCCAAGCCCTGAAGCCTGAGTCGGGTACCCCTTCTTTAGCAGAGATAATTGTTGTTTAGTCATTAAGTCATGTCTGACTCTTTGGGGACACTATGGACTATAGTCCGCCAGTATTTTCTTCATAATTGCCTACATTCTGCCACGTCTCTTCCCTGTTAACCATGTAGGGTCCATGTTGGCTGCACCCATCTCATTCTTATTCCACTCTGTATCCCCAGCCTTTTAATCCATAGTAGGCTTTGTTTAACCTGGTTAAACAAAGAACTGTGCATAGGTATGGGGCCAGGATAGGGGGGCGCACAGGTTGTGAAAAGAACCATCTTTATTGTCTGTTACTAGAACCATGAGATGACCACCAGGGGGCACTTGTCCCACTGTGAAGACCTGATGACCCAATCCCTTGTCCCTCCCTTCTTGTTCTGCCCACTAGCTAGCTGGCTGTGGGCCAGGGAGCCAGGACTGCCCCTGCCCCACCCATTCCCAGCTGCAGTCCACCTCCTGCCCAAGTTGACATATGCAGGTTGGCACACCTCTGTGGAGATCTGTAAGGAGTGATGTTGGGGACTGACAGATTTGTGCCTCTGGCTATTTGAGATGGTGGTTGGGGGTGGTTTCCAGAAGGGAAGTGGGATGATGGTGGTGTTGAGTGGGCCTTGTCCATCCCCGTGATTCCTCCTTCTAGACTGCCACACTGACTTCAAGTGGGGAGAAGCCAGACAAGGACTGGGAAAGCTGCAGTGATGACGACAGCCAGGAGCCCAAGCCTCCAAATGTGTGAGACTTCTTTCTAGTGCTGGGGCACATGGGAGGAGATGCCTTCAAATCTCAGAAGAAAGGACCAGTATAATGCTTGACTGTGGTCTTCTTGGGGGGTGGAACTGTTGTACTAATCTTTGGCACTTCCAGGTCCTGAATAGGAACTCATTGGTGAATGTTTTAGAGGGGAGGAGAGGTCAAGCTTTTCCACCAGATCCATTTGTAATTCCTGATTCCCACCCCTCTCCGACAGTCTGACCGATGAGATGCTGCTCCAGGCCTGTGAGGGACGAACAGCACACAAGTGAGTAGTGGCTGGCTTCCTGGGCTCTCTTCTTTTCTCCCCATCACAAGCCCACCATTGAGGGTGGCCTGCGCCACTCTTTTCACCCCAGAGGAAATGATTCCTACTCTTTGCCCATTTCTGAAGCTGCCTGAAGATAGGTAGCTCCTCCCTACCAACTGTCCCTGCAGTCTCAAAGATTAGGCCTTTCTTCCCTGATAGCCTCCCTCTGACTTGCTGCTGCTGCTGCCAAGTCGCTTCAGTTGTGTCAGATTCTGTGCGGACCCCATAGATGGCAGTCCACTAAGTTCCTCTGTCCCTGGGATTCTCCAGGCAAGAATACTGGAGTGGGTTGCCATTTCCTTATCCAATGCATGAAAGTGAAAAGTGAAAGTGAAGTCGCTCAGTTGTGTCTGACTCTTAGCGACCCTGTGGACTGCAGCCCACCAGGTTCCTCCGTCCATGGGATTTTCCGGAGTACTGGAGTGGGGTGCCATTGCCTTCTCTGCCCTCTGACTTGGGCCCCATCTATTTCAGGGCTGCCCGTCTTGGGATCACAATGAAAGCTAAGCTTGCTCGCTTAGAGGCCCAGGAGCAGGCCTTCCTGGCTCGGCTCAAAGGCCAGGACCCTGGGGTCCCTCAAGTGCAGTCTGAGAGCAAGCCCCCCAAAAAAAAGAAAAAGAAAAGGAAGCAGGAAGAGGAGGAAGAGGCTACAGCAACTGAAAGGAGTGCAAAAGAGTACTCAGAACACACTGACGAGAGCATCAGAAAAAGCAAGAAAAAGAAAAGACGGCATCAAGAAGAAAGAGTCACAGATAAGGAGAGCATAGCTCTAGAAAATGAGGACGAGACCACAAGAACAGGTGGGCTTGGGGAATTGAAAAACAGAGAGCACATTGACCAGCCCCTCAGGAAAAAGAGGAGGAGGCAGCACCGTGAAGAGAAGGTGGAGATGGAGGTCTTAGGTAACGAGGGAGGTCAGGTCAGTGGAGTCAGGACAGAGGAAGCAGAGAGAAGAGTGCACACGGACCCATGTGGCAGAACCAAGAACAGGCAGCAGCATGAGGAAGACGACCTGAACACAGAGGATGAAGGAGCTGAAGAGGCTCTTGTAGATAGTGGGGCCAGAGAAGCAGAAAGCAGATCGTGCAGTGATCAGAAAAGGAGGAGAAGCAAGAAGAAAAGACAGCAGCATCAGGAGGAAGTATTGGATGGCCCTGGAGTCAGCACTGGCCAGAAAGCAAAAAAGAAGAAACAGAAGAAGAGAGACTGAAGGCCAGGTCACGGTGGGGCCCGCCTGATGCCTCTTCAGGAGTTTAAGCCTTGGGGGCCTGAGCTGATGCAGGTCTTACGCACCCTCTCAGTGAGGAGTCCCTCCCGAGGAGGAAGCAGCGGTGGAACAGCAGTCCGCTGAGAGGACAGTGCTAGTGCCATGTCTGAGTCGAGGGAGAGGCAAGTCCCCCTTACAGCATCCAACCCAGAGATGGTGAACTCGGGCACCTGCAGGGGCCAGGCAACGAAGGGACCAGGATGTGGGGAGCTGTGGCAATGGGAATGCGGACATCTGAAGAGGCATCTTGGCTAAAAGAAGCTGAAAATGTAGATCTATGGAAAATATACTGATTTTTTATTTTGGAGGCTAAGAAAAACATGCAAATTCCGCCCATAGGTTGCCAGTTTCTAACTATACCAAATTGAATAAACATCAGCTTGGTCTTCCAGCCTGTAGATAAGTTGTGACTATCATCTCCATTCTCATCCCGGGAAGGTCCTGAATACAAATTAGTTTCCTTGGAGGCCTCTGAAGAAATTCCTTCTGTTAACGTCTGGTAGTCTTGCTATGCTGTTAAATGAAAGGAGAGAGTTCAGAGAACCTCGCCCAGCTCCCTATCTGCATCCCTAATAAGAACTCTGTGCGTGTAAAGGATGCACAGCTCATCTGGGAGCCTTTTTCAGCATCTGAAAGTCAACTGTCATTGCCCCCAAATGCCATAGAAACCTCTCTTGCATATTGTTCCCCCAGAGAGAGTGCACCACCTCTCCAGTGTTGCTCTCTGGCTATGCCATGTCTTAACCGTTCTTGTCAGAAGAGCTCCCAGGACTCCACAGTTCTGGGGGAGAGGCACTAAGTCTTTATTGAAAAGAATGCCCCCCACCTTCTCTCACTGCAGACGATAGACACATTCGGTGTCAGGGTAGGGTGGTAGGTTCAGCTGGTACTTCTTTTCCAGAGCAGGTGGCACGAAGCGACCCCCCAGGTAGTGGTAACGACCAGTAAACTGGGTTGCAGACTTTTTGGGTGCTGTCAGGGAGATGAGCAAGTCTGGCTGGATCCCTCCAGAGCTTCCCTTCTCCACATCCCATCCTGAAAAGAAGGTGGTAGTCAGAGCAGAAGGGACCAAGATGTCCAGTCCCCTTCCACACCTTGCTCTGCAATAATCTTAAAGGAGTGGGAAGCCCCCTGGGTCCCCACCTGAGGAAATCATGTCTTGGAGCTGCACATACTCCTGGGCTCTGGTCTCACAGTCAACATGTAAAGGGCATTCCTAAACTCTTTGTTCCTCAGCCCTACTTTGGTTATGTTCTGCACCTCTAGACTCTGTCTGAACCTTGAATCAGGAGCAAGAACTCCTAGGTACCTACCTCAAGACAGGGCAGAGCCCTGATCCCCCCAACCTCCTTGGACCCAGCACCTGAGGGAATGTCGATGCTGGCAATGGGCACAGTGAGTCCATTCAGAACGCTCAGGATGCTGCGGAATGGCTCCCGAACCTCACCCGTGAAGCTGAAGCCAAAGATGGCATCCACCACCAGCTCATACAGTTCATCAATCAGCATCGGCTGTGGTAGAGCAGGAGAAGATGTCAGAGCTAGCAGCTTCACAAAGAACCCTTAACAGGAAAGGGCTGTCTGTCCTCTGTACCCAAAGACCATAGGCACAGGGAGAATTTTCATCTCATTCTGAGGCCTAGAGTTCAGTGCAAGTCACTGCTTGAGGCCAAGCTGAGTCCAGTCGCATTTTCCGCTCGGAGTGTCTGCGAACCACTGGAGAGGCTACAGTGTGGGACAGCCCGAGACTTGGAGTCAGCACAGACAGGCTCTGGCCTTGCCTTTGCTGTGAACTGATTTGTGACTCTGGACAAATCACTTACCTTCTTTTGCATCTCAGTCTCTTCATCTGTAAAACGTGCTGAGGAATTTTAAAACTTTAAAACATTCTCAAAGTTTCCCACTCCTAAATCCATCATCTGAAGAAAGGGTTTAGGATAAGGTAGTCACTTCAGTTCCCAAGAGGGGCACATAATGTGTTTACCACATGCTAGGGGAAGAGGAATTGGCTACAGTGTGGAGTGACCAGGGGAGATTAAGGGGAAATAAAGCTTTAGCCAGGGGGTTGCTGGCAGCTCATAAATGGAGCACACCCTATGACACCAATTCCATTCAGGTAGCATGCTTTGGGCACCTTCTGTGCCAGGCACTCTCCATGCCCTCTAATAACTCTCTGGAGAGGAAGATTCTTAAGTGAGCTCAGCCTGGAAAGGTGAGGGAAGAGCAGGACACAGGAGCACAGTAAACTGGAGCCACCTACCTCTGGGGGCATTTCACCAAGGAAAGGGATGTCCATTTTCTGGCACTGCGTCACCAGTGCAGTGAAAAGTGGCTTGTTAGGCCTTTTAGGGTAATAGATGGTTGGCTGGTAGCCCTGTGAGGAAAGGAAGGGGGTAATTCAAGCCCAGGTCTTGGAAACTTCTCCCGCACAGCCCTTCCCCACATACTCACAAAGAGTTTGAGGTGTCGAGCACAGACCAGCCCATCTCCTCCATTATTCCCAGGGCCACAGATGACCAGGACGGTAGGGGGGCTCCTGGACAAGGACGTGGGGGGATATGCCTGAAGGCAGAGTCAAAGGGCATTCAGAGGGGCTTTGGGCAGTGACAGACCAGGCTTGGCCTGGCCGTCCGTCCCTCAGTCGTTGTGCCTAGGCCGGGGGTCTTGTACAATGGCTTGCCCCAAAGGTCGAGGGTTGTGCCACTGACCTTGGCAATGGCTGTGGCACAGCTCAGACCGGCCAGCTCCATAAGTTGGTCCACGCTGAACTGGTACTCATTAAACAGCTCCTGGTCCACGGCTTGGGCCTCCTCCTGGCTGAGGAAACCCACGGCCTGAGTCCCCACCCCTCAGGTGTTCCCTCGCGCAGGCGGCATGGCCGCCCCAGGTCCCGCCCCCCTGGGTTCCACCCAAGTCCACCCTTGCCCGCCCAGAACCTCGCCTACCTCAGGTACTTCACTGCTGAACTCGCCATGACTTCTGAGTCCCCGCGGCTACCCGAGATCAGCCGCTGCGGCACCCACCAGGTGGGTCCTGCGCGACAGGAGCCGGCCTGGACTCTGACGCGCGACAGGCGCGAGCCTGCAACCAGCAGCCCGAGCCCCAGAAGCGCCCGCAAACCGGACATGCAGCTAGTCAGGAGGGAGCCCTCTGGCCCGCCCGGCGCGTGCGCAGTACTTAGCCCTGCCCCCGAGGGGCCGAGCCCGCACGCACCCTTGCCGGAAGCGGGCGTAGGACTGGCAGCTCCGCCGCTTCTCCTTCGGTTACTGTGCGCGCCAACTCCCCGGGTGCCTTCCCAGCCCGGCCCCGCTCCGCCAGGGCGTCTTGTCTTACGGTCTGGATCCAAGCCCATCGCCGGAGCATTTTCATACTGCCTCACAAATGACCCTAAGTGCTTTGCTCTCAAGCGCCCGTCGATAATAATTCTTCGTTTCATGTTTTTGTGTAGCATAGCAGTTAACCCGGGTTCCTGCCCTCCCACTGACTGAGTGAACTTGGCTCTCCAGATTTGTTTCCTGTCTGTAAAATGGGATACGAGTACATACGGGGCTGTATTCCACGCAAAGCCGTAGACAGCGTCAGGCACATAAGGCTCAATAAGTTAATGTTCTTATTAACACTACTAAGCGTTTCATATAACTTGGGACCCCTCTCCCCACTAAATTAGCCTCGCTTATCTCTGCTTACCTGGCTTCCCAGGTAAAGAACCCGCCTGCCAATGCAGGAGAAGTAAGAGAGGCGAGTTGGATCCCTGGATGGGGAAGATCCCCTGGAGAAGGAAATGGCAACCTACTCCAGTATTCTTGAATCCATGGACAAAGGAGCCTGGCAGGCAACAGTCCATGGGGTCACAAAGAGTCAGACACGACTTAGCGACTAAACAACAGGATTGAGGGGGGTGTTTTTATGCTAGTTTATTCTTTTTCTGTAACATGAATTCCATTCCTGGCTAGTTCACTGAGAAAAGCAAAAACCCCTCCTACTTTAAAAGAAAAAAATTATTTATTTCAGCTGTGCTGAGTCTTCATTGCTGCCGGAGGTTTTTTCCTTATTCACAGTGAGGGGGGCTACTCTCTAGTTGCAATGCTTGGACTTTTCTTTGTGGTTGCTTCTCTTGTTTCAGAGTCCAGGCTTTAGGGCACCCAGGCTTCAGTAGTTGCGGTTCCTGGGCTCAGGAGTTGTGGTTCCCCAGCTCTAGAGCACAGGCTCAGTAGTTTTGGCACAAGGACTGAGTTACTCTGCGGCATGTGGGATCTTTCTGGACCAGGGATCCAACCCATGTCTTCTGCATTGGCAGGCAGATTCTTTACCACTGAGCCACAAGAGAAGCCAGAACCCCTCCTATTTTTAACTATTCCTCTGATGCTGTGCAATGCTGTGCTTGGTCGCTCAGTTGTGTCTGACTCTGCAACCCCGTGGATTGCAGCCTGCCAGGCTCCTCTGTCAATGGGATTTTTTTGGGCAAGAATATTGGAATAGGATGCCATTTTCCTTCTCCAGGGGATCTTCCCAAACCAGTGTCTCCTGCATCACAAGCAGATTATTTAGTTACCCACTGAGCCATCTGGGAAGCCCATTCCTCTGATAGTCTCCTTTTTCATTACAAGAGGCTTATGATCTCCTATGGGTTGTAACCTTGCCTTCATCATTGTTTGTTTAACATGTCTGATGTGGAAAATTGAATGTATCAGACTGTGATTGTGATGGAAAATTGTTTTGGTTGGACTTTTTTTGTGGTTTACTCATCCTTGTTTTTTAGTTTATTCATCTTAATTGAAATAGAGTTTATATTACAATTGCATAATCTTATCTAAGACTTCACTAATTTTGTTTTCTAGCTTCACCAGTATATAAGTAGCTTCACTTTTATATATTAGTCATGACTTAGTGACTGAACAACAAGACTCCCTACAGACCTACTTGAGAAAATTAGTCAGTTCTGAAGATTCATTTCTAAAACACAGTGTGAAGCATGTTTCTTTGACATAGATAACATTTTGAGTATATGTACCCAGTGCTGACATGAGTCTTCTCATTTTATCCTTACAACAACTGTTATTATCCCTTTTACAGATGAGGAAGTGAGAGTGTTAGTCACTCAGTAGTGTCCGACTCTTTGCAACCCCATGGACTGTAGCTGGCCAGGTTCCTCTGTCCTTGGAATTCTCCAGGCAAGAATATTGGAGTAGGTGCCATTCCCCTCCCCAGGGGATCTTCCTGACCCAGGAATTAAGCCCGGGTCTCCTGCACTGAAGGTGGATTAGGAAACTGAGGCTCAAAGATGTTGAATGATATGTCCAATGATACACTGATATCTGTCAGTGGAGATAGGACCCAAGCAGCTTGACCTAAAGTCTGAAGTCTTAAGAATTATTCTATGCAGAAATGCCTCTCTGAATGCAGAGCTATATAACTGAAGGGTTATCAACTGCTGACTTCATTCAGATGAGTTGTAACTATAAAATAATAACACAAAACATATCCCACCATACACACTTAGAATTTATGAAACAACCAATGAAGGCTGTCTTCAGGAAGGCAGTGCCCAACCTATTCCACCTTGCTGCCTTTCACATTTTGGAGTTTACTCTGGAAAATGCCTTCAAAACCAATTTAAGAAGGGCATGTTGGGCTTGGCTGGTGCTCAGTGGTAAAGAATCTACCTACAGTGCAGGAGACACAGGTTCAATCCCTGATCTGGGAAGATCCCACGGGCAGAGAAGCAACTAAATCCGTGTGCCACAACTACTGAGCCTGTGCTCTAGAGCCTAGGAGCTGAAACTACTGAAGCCCATGTGCCTAGACAACCCATGCTCTGGACAAGAGGAGAATCCATTGCAATAAGAAGCCTGAGTACCGCAACTAGAGAGTAGCCCCTGCTCACCACAGCTAGAGAAAAGCCTGTGCAGCAATGAAGACCCAGCACAGTAAAAAAATAAATTAAAAAATTTTAAAGAAAGGGGGCATGAGGATTATTTGCTGAGTTCCAGATCCTCTGCCTATATTATCTAATTTGATCCTGTCCATCCTATGATGTATTTTTGTCCTTATGTTATAGATGAGAAGTTGAGTAGCAGAGAGAAGTTAAGTAATTTTCCTAAGGTAATACAGCTATAAAATGGTAGAGCCAATGATGGTTGATCCTGACCTAGTACCAATACTCTTGTGTAGCAGATGCTGCTACTTGTCCCTCAAAATCATTCTCCTTTCTTCTTTCTTCATTTAAAGGCAGTTTGATTGGCTTTGTTACAGTCAGTGAATCTACTTCTCAGTCAAGACATCTCTAATGCCTGACAAGATAAAAAGCTCCATTGAGATAAGGAAGATTAACAAAACCTGGTTATGTGCCTGAAACCTAGTAGGTCCTTTATCTACAAGTATTTTAATTAATCCTTAAAATCTAATTGTGAAGTAATTCACAGTGCAGTAGAATGCCTCTTATCTTACATGACTAGGACTAAATTATTTTATTTCAACAAACGTTCATTTGCTGTCTGTCAAAGTGTGACCAGGGTCTTGCCTTTGAGGATAAGGCCAAAGACTGTAGTTATCCATCTTCTTTCTTGCATAAACTTCACCACTTACATATCACCTACCAGTTTGAAGTCTGCTTCCTTAAGTTGGAACAAAAAATTGATGGTATATTTAAAGCAATCTGAGTGCAAAATTCATCGAGATTTTTATGATTTCCCCCAATTTTTAATAGTCTCTCCGCTCACATATAATTCAACAGTAGTTTTTAAAGTCACTCACCTGAATTGCATCTTCCAGAGATTCAATTTAGTTGTCATAGAAACAGCTTGTTTTCACACTCTTAGTTCATCAGTTTAATTACAAACTGCAATAACACATACAATTGGAATAAACACATTTGGTATCAAACACGAACAACTGTTGGTAAGCAATGGCTTAACTGGGGGAGTTGAACTGCACAGCATCCTAAAGGTACTCACTGCCTAGGTATGAATCTCAGCTTCACTTACTAGTTGTGTGACTTGGTAGGTAAACCAGTTAACCTGTGTGCCTTCTTTTCCTCATTTGTGAAAGAGGATTTATCTGCTGTGAGGATTAAAGGAGAAGGCACTTGTGAAGCACATGGCATATGCTAAGTGAGCAATGTTACAAAATACTGTAGCAGCAGCTAGCAGCGGTACTGCTGCTATAGGCCCGAGGGGCCCTGCATCCAGCATCTGCTTTTTTTGTGTGTGGAGGAAGAGGAGTGCATCAATAGCTCAGTTAAGGTGGATCTTCTGTAGCATGAGATCCCCATTTCCCATATGAGAAAATGGAGTCAGTGACCCTAAAGTGTCTTAAACAAGATGTCATGCTTTTAAGAACTGGCAAGGCCAGATTGTGAAGTTTGATGCCAGAAAGAAAGGGGAGAAATTTACCATCCGTTTTCCTTTTTACTTTTCCCTATTGAACCCAAAAATCCTGATGAGAAGCACCCAGAACGCCTTGGTGCTGAGACTGCCAAGCCCTTGTCCAGCCTGCTTGGGGGCGCACTTGCAGACATTGTCTTCCATGCCCATGCAGTGCTCACTGGAAACGACGGGGAAGGGGTTCAGTCCCAGAAGTCCCTGAGGTGAGTATGTTGGGTAGGTACTGCAGAGGCCGTGCTGTGACCAACAGGGGAGGGTCACATGACTATGCAGAAGCCAGACTCCATGGATCTCCTCTGAGGGTTCCTGCCGGGAGGTTTCCTGGGCTGTCTGAATGACCTGAAGGAGGCAGAGAGGGGGCAGTGGGAGTGACTAGGGAGAGAAGAGAAGGCAGCTTGCTCTGGCTCCAGCTTCTGTAACCCTCTCTGGCCCTACCTCGGCTGGTGGGCTCCAGGGCAGGGGGGAATATGCTGAAGCCGTGTGTTTCCCCATTCAGCAGGACTCGCCCTTTCGCCGAGGCCTACACTCAGGCCATGCAGGAGGCGGGGGACACTCGGGACCTCCAGAGCTGGGTGAAGGTTGTGCAGATTGCTAAAGGGCAAAGTCAGAGAGGCTCAAAGCACCATGTCCCCAAGCAACAGACCACCTCTTCCCCCAACTTTAACAGTGATCATGTTCCATTAAAGTCATCCAAAGTCACACCCCTCCTACTTCTTTTATCCATTCTCCAGGCTTCATCCCTCCTCCCAGTTACCCACCTATTGCCACGGGGCCTGCTGGGTACCAGAAGGCCAGGGTTCTCCATTCTGAGGGGGCCTTGGCCTCCAAATGAGAGATGGGTCTTGGGTCTTGGGCCTGGATGGAGAGAAACAAACACATTCATCACAGGCCTCACTGCCTCAAGAACCATCCTGGGCAGAAAGAGACATCTTTGGGAGAAGAACCAGGAGGGTGGGTATCAGGGGATGTTTCGGTCACTGTACGCAGACGGTCCACCTGTACAGGGCAGGTGCTTGGCAAACTTGGGCAGACTAGATGGGAATGATTCACCAGAGTGTTATTGGTGCCTGGAGGATAACACACGGAAAAGAAGACATCAGTGAATTCAAGTCACCAAGAAGCAAGGAACTCTGTCCTCAGAGTGCAAAGCCTTTGGGGGAAGAGACTAGTAAGCTAAGGTAAGAAAAGCATCCAGTGCCTGGCATGTAGTAGGTATGGAAACCTTGGTGCTCCAAGATACAAAGTTCTAGATGTTAGGAAAGCCTCAGAAGCAGGGGGGAAGAGGCAAATTCAGGAAAGGGTTTAGGCAAAATGGTCCAGGGCCTTGAGAGAGCAGAAAGCGGGGAGGGCTGGTCCTGGCCTTGGAAATATGACAAGTGGGAGGGTGGGGTAAAGGAAGTAAGAGCACTCCCATTTGGGGGAAGGCGATGCTAGAAGCAGCTTCCTTAGACTCACCTTCCAGCCTTGGTGCCCAAGATGTCGTGGGAACACTCGCTGACTCTTCCTCCTTCTCCTCGTGGCCTTCCTCTAACTCATCTTCCCACCCACCAGAAGATCTGTAGAGGCAGGAAATGGGGGGCAGAGCGGTACTCTGGCCAGGTCCCCTCCTCCCCACGTCCCACCCACTGTGCCAGGCTGTGACACCTCCCAACACACCCCCGAGGCCACATCCGTCCCTGAAGCTCTGCTCCGGCCCTGCTTACCTATGCTGCACTCCTGGTGTGCCCCTGTCTACCCTGGCTGGGGTCCCTTCCACCAGGCAGGCGCCACCTGGAGCCAGGGATCTCCCTGGAGCTGAGGTCTAGGAATGAAGAGGGGTAAATGGGATCAGTTAGAGAAAAATGACCACCCCAGCTGTGGTTGTGGTGTGAATGTATGTTCCTTCCACACACAATGGGCCCAGAGAGACAGAGAAGTGCTAAAGACAGCTGGGCTGTGCCTTATGTCTAAGGATGAAACTACAGGGCAAGGCCCTTTGTTCTGTTAAGGTCCCCAGTAGTAACTCTCAAGTTAGAACTCAAGCTTATGGACTATCAGACCTGGCCAGAGCTTGATGACCACCTCATCCTTCCTGGGGCCTCCAGGGAGAAAGTCATAGAAAGTTGGTAACCAACTTCAGATAGAATCTAGGTCTTCTGACCCCTAATCCAGTCATCTGCTTATACCAAGATAATTTTACTTGCAAACTATAAATATGATGTCCTACTCTTTCAAGTAAGAGAGGACATAAAGTGAAAAAGTGAAGTGTTAATCATTGTCATGTCCAACTCTTTGTAATCCCATGGACTGTAGCCCGCTAGGTTCCTTTGTCCATGAAATTCTCCAGGCAAGAATACTGGAGTGGGTAGCCACTCCCTTCTCCAGGGGATCTTCCCAAGAGAGGACATCAGTTCAGCTCAGTCACTTAGTCGTGTCTGACTCTTTGAGACCCCATGGACTGTAGCACGCCAGGCTTCCCTGTCCATCACCAACTCCCGGAGCTTACTCAAACTCATGTCCATCAAGTCCATGATGCTATCCAACCATCTCATCCTCTGTCGTCCCCTTCTACACCTGTCTTCAATATTTTCCAGCATCAGGGTCTTTTCCAGTGAGTCAGTTCTTCGCATCAGGTGGCCAAAGTATTGGAGCTTCAGCTTCAGCATCAATACTTCCAATGACTATTCAGGACTAATATCCTTTAGGATTGACTGGTTAGATCTCCTTGCAGTCCAAGGGACTCTCAAGAGTCTTCTCCAACACCACAGTTCAAAAGCATCAATTCTTCGGCGCTCAGCTTTCTTTATGGTCCAACTCTCACATCCATACATAACTACTGGAAAAACCATAGCTTTGGCTAGACAGACCTTTGTCAGCAAAGTAACGACTCTGTTCTTTAATATGCTGTCTAGGTTGGTCACAACTTTTCTTCCAAGGAGCAAGTATCTTTTAATTTCATGGCTGCAGTCACCATCTGCAGTGATTTTGGAGCCCAAGAAAATAAAGTCTCTCGCTGTTTCCATTGTTTCTCCATCAATTTGCCATGGAATGATGGGACCAGATGATCTTAGTTTTTTGAATGTTGAGTTTTAAGCTAGCTTTTTCACTCTCCTCTTTCACTTTCATCAAGAGGCTCTTTAGTTCCTCTTCACTTTCTGCCATAAGGGTGGTGTCATCTGCATATCTGAGGTTATTGATATTTATCCTGGCAATCTTGATTCCAGCTTGTGCTTCATCCAGCCCGACATTTCCCATGATGTACTCTGCATAGAAGTTAAATAAGCAGGGTGACAATATATAGCCTTGACGTAATCCCTTCCCAATTTGGAACCAGACTGTTGTTCCGTGTCCTGTTCTAACTGTTGCTTCTTGACCTGCATACAGATTTCTCAGGAGGCAGGTGGTCTAGTATTCCCATCTCTTGACAAATTTTCCAGTTTATTGTGATTGACACAGTCAAAGGCTTTGGCATAATCAATAAAGCAAAAGTAGATGTTTTTCTGGAACTCTCTTGCTTTTTTGATGACCAGTGGATGTTGGCAATTTGATCTCTGGTTCCTCTGCCTTTTCTAAATCCAGCTTGAACATCTGGAAGTTCATGGTTCACATACTTTTGAAACCTGGCTTGGAGAATTTTGAGCATTACTTTGCTGGCGTGTGAGATGAGTGCAATTGTGTGGTAGAGACATAAAACCTAGCAAATAAATATAACAAATATTCAAGCATGATTTCAATTCCTGGGGTAAGTAGGTTGCCTGAGAGATCTCAAAGTGTGAGGGAAGAGGCAGTTGAAGAGACATTGACCTGTTGAGTGACGATGGGAGGTAGAGAGGGAGGGAGGAGGAGTTCGGAGAAGGAGGGGCCCAGGTAGAGACCCACAGAGAACTGTCCCCTAGAGAATGAGAGGAGAGAGAGAACATCCTTGGAGCACTGCTCCCATCCTGTGGCTCTTTTGGGAACTGCAGCCAAAGACAAAACTACGTCCTGTAGGTTTGGCTCAGTTATCTTTGATGGTGTGTGTGCAAGTGTGCTCAGTCATGTCTGACTCTTTGGGATTCGATGGACTGTAGCCCACTAGGCTCCTTCTGTCCATGGGATTATCCTGGCAAGAATACTGAGTGGGTTGCTATTTTCTCCTCCAAGGGATCTTCCAAACCCAGGGATGGAACCTGTGTCTCATGGGGCTCCTGCATTGGTAGGCGGACTGAGCCACCTGGGAAGCCCCATCTTCAATGGCAGCCTTTGACCTTCACCCACTGGGCTAGTTACCAATCAGCCAAAGCCCTGGCACAGCCCTGGTGTTGGGGACATGCCACAATCCCCCACCCACCACCCTACCTCCAGGTGGCCTCTGGAAAGTGTCATGTGTCCCCCATGCAGGCCCTGGGACAGATGAACACAGACGAGCAGTCAAGTGCAGCATCCTTGACATCAGCTCCACGCATCACCACCCCTTTCTCTGGGTAACCTCTCCCCACCCCCTACTGCTTGTCTCGGGTGTCATCTCACCAGGGTGTGAGTCGGAAGCAGCCCACCCCGGGCCAAGTGGGTCCTTATGGCATCTGTCAGCTTGGCCACCAGCCGCTCTCGCACAGAATCTGACTCCTTCTGGGGAGAGAGTGGATAATGGGGTAGTGGGGAAAGCCTGGGCTTCGGGACCGGGGAAGAAATAGAAAAGGAGGAGGGGAGGAGGGGAGGGGCCTTTGTCTCCTCTCTTTTCTAGCCCATTCCTGTGCCTTTGCCAGCATCCTGCCACCACCTACCCAGAACCGTGGACAGAAGTGGATTCTTCCTCACAATAGTGTCCCAGGACCCAGCACCCCATGTGCCCAATGCACATTTGATGAGTGAATGGATGGTGGGGAGAGACAGGAATATCAGCTGGAGAAAGCATGTCAGGAGAGCAACTGGAGGGCTCTTGGGAAATGGTTAGATTCTGGGATGGAGGGTCTCACCGGACACCGGGCCAGCGCTTCCTTATAGTACTTCAGAGCCTGGTCATGCTGTCCCAGTCTGGCTGCAGCAGCCCCCAGACCCTCACAGGCCTGCCATTGCCCCTTCACGTCCCCTAGGGAAGACAGTCTGAGAGGTCCTCCCTTGGCTCCCAACCCCACCGACCCTCCCCTCCAGAGGTCCTCCCCACCAGCCCCAAGGATCCTCAGGCTTTGCCCCACCCCAAGCCACCTGCAAACCCCTCCCCCTCACCAGTGTCCCGGGCAGCCTGCAGAGCATGAAGGTAGTTGTCTCTGGCGGCCTTGTGGTCTCCCAGCTGGCTCATTGCAAATGCCAGGCTGCCAAAGCTCCATCCCTGCTCCCTCCGCTGCCCCACAGAGCCTGGGGACAGAGCCCACCCCATCCTAAGAGACGACTTGGCCTGCTGGGGCATCAGAACCCTGCCCCCCAACGAGGAAGGGAGGGTTGCCAGGAGTCCTGCTGCACAACCCTGGCACACCTCCAGAGGCACCATGAAGGCTTGAACTCTTGAAACCCAGCCTGAGTTTTGGCCTGAATGCCTCCCCAGGCTACTTTGAGCCACATAAAAACCCAGGGAGGCAGGCAAGGCAGGTATTAATAGCTCCATATTTATATACATGCAACCTGAAGCTCAGAAAGTGAAAATAAGGTGCTGAAAAGTCACACAATCATTTAGAAGCATTGGGCTCCACTTCAGGCCTCCCCTTCCAGCCAGGTTCTTCTCTCTGCCCGTTGCTGCCTTCCCAACCCCAGGCCTCAGCCTCTGGGGCCATAACCCTCTGTCCTGCCTGGCTGTCCCATCTCCTGCACCCTCCCACCCCCCACTTTCTCTTCCCTGGTTCTGGACTTCCCAGTCTAATTAGTTCTAAAGTATAACCATAATTAGCTCTAGAGTTCCAGCCTTGGGGCTTCAGCTGGAACCCCACTCCTAGCCCCTTGGTCTCAGCCTCACTCCCCAGTCCCTGGTACCCACCGTGCAGGTCGGCAGCCTTCTGGTGGAACTCCCGGGCTTCCTGATAGTTGCCGAGGGCATTGTGGGCCATCCCAAGGTTCCTTAGCACTGTGGCCTCCTCTCCTGGCTCCCGGCACAGGGGCAGGGCTTGCAGGAAGGCCTCTACCGCTAGCGGGAACAGCTGGAGCTGGGAGTAGCCCAGGCCTAGATCGTTATAGAGTTGCCCTAGAGGGCATGGTCAATGTCACTGGTCAAATGCTGCTGAAGCTGTACTGGTGCAGCCTCTGTCCCACTCTCCCAGGGTTCCCCCAGCCCCTCCCAGCCCTCAGAAATGCCTCTGCTTCCACCGCATTTCTCAGAGTATCACCCGGTCTGAAACCCCCCAGATCCCGCACCTTCTCAGCCCCCAGGCCTCACCCAGCAGTCCCTGCTCAGTGCTTCTCTCAGCAAGCCTCCGACTTTCCTCCAGCACCTGCATGACTTCACTCACCCCATGCTGCCCGCTCTCCAGCATACACCCTGCTGCAGCTCCCAATGCCAGGGCTGAAGCCTGGGGCTGCCCTGCTTGGGCATAGGCCCGGCTCGCTTCTTGCAGGCAGTGGGCTGCTAGCCCAGGCTGTCCCAGAGCCCGGTAGCAGGCTCCCATTTTTGCCTGGGCTTGTCCCTGGTCACCTAGTGGCTGGTAGTGGCACAGGGCCTTGTGGTACCAGGCCAAAGCTTGAGGCAGGTCACCCAGGGCATGGTAGGCCAAAGCCACATTGAAACACTGGTCGCCATGACACCCGCCCGGGGCCATCTCTTGAGGCTGAGCGCGTAGGAGCAGCTCAAGGCCTCTGGCTGGGTCCCCAGTCTCCACGTAGGCAGCCCCCAGGTTGAAGGCACAGGCCTGGAGAACAGGGGTGTCTCTGGTTTGTGGTGACTTGGAAGCCAGGAGGAAGGCCCTCTGGAAGCTGGTCAAGGCCTCACGGTTCCAGCCAGCCAGTAGGGCCCTGTGGCCAGCCCTGGTGAGGGCTTGGATAGTGGCCTCTTGCTGAAGCCACTTTCTTTTCTTCTTTTTCTTCTTGGAGCTTGAGGATGAGAGCGAGGGTTCTTGGGGGGCATCCTCAGTATCAAGGGAAGACATAGTGCTGACAACAGGGAGCAGAGGGGTCAGTGTGTTATCCTTGGTCCTCCAAAGGACCACTGTCCCTCTACAGCAATTCAGCTCTACTTCTGCCCTGGTGTGACCCTCAGGGTTTCAAGGATTTCTCTCTGCCCTCTCACTTTGCTTCACCTCTCCCACTGGACACCACATCAGCTCTCACTCTCATTAGACTGACTAATTGTTCGTCCTGCAAGACTCATTTTAAGACAAGGAAGGGGCAGGGCACACTCTTTAAAAAATATGACTTAGCCTGAGGACACAACATAAACTGATTAGAACCAACTGGGTCCAAGATGGCGGACTCAACTTCCACTTGACCTTGAGCCTCAGTATACTCTCAGTGTAACACACCACAGGTACCATGATGGTTCTAAGGATGACCACAAAATGTCAAAAAGTGGGTGGTGGCCCAATTCCTTGAAATCCCCACCCCTTTTCCAAAACAACTGTAATACTCCTCCCAATCATTAGCCTATGTAATCACCTCAATACTGAGGATACCCACCAAGAGCCTATGTAAAAATTGACAACCCCACACACTCTGTCTATGGAGTGTGTTTCTTCCCTGACTAAACCTTCTTTCTCTTTACTATGGCTCAACATTGAATTCTTTCCTGCATGATGCCAAGAACACATACTTGGCATCCACCCCAGGGACTTGGACCTGGGATGTGGCCATCCTCTCTTGAACCACTCTCTTTCTTGCAACAATTTCAAGTAACAGCTTCCTTCAGAAAGCCCCTCCCCTCAACCAGCTGGGTCCTTCTTCTGCACTCCCATAGTGCTTATCTATACTTAGGTCTTTTATGGCATTTTTCACACCGGGTTAGGGTTGTTGACTTTCTTAACCATTTCCCCTACTAGATTTGGAGCAGCTCGAATGTTCTAAAACAGTAGATTCTCAACATATGTTTACCGAATGAGATGAAAAAGTTGTGGAGATGGATGGTGGTGAAGACTGCACAACAATGTGAGTATACTTAATGCTGCTGAACTGTATGCTTAGAAAAGGTTTAAAATGGTGAATTTCATGTTACATATAGACTTTTGCCACAATAAAAAAGGTATACTGAATGAATAAATGAATGGATGAATGAACAAAGCACATACAGGGCCTCTGCTCCACCATCTCCTTCACTCTGTGCATCAAAAGACATCCACTCATAATCTACATACTCCTGCTGTTTAATCTCAAGGTAGAGTTCAAGTTGGTTCAACAAAAACTCAGTGAGCTCCTGCTGTGTTCCAGGAGCCGTACAAGGCACTGGGGGCCCAAAACTGACTAGGCCATGTAATTGGCAAGGGGCCAACTTTCAGGAGCAAGGCTTCTGTGTCTCTGTTCACTGCCTGCTCCCTATCTCAAGGGGAACCTCTTTCTCCCCTGCCTCCTTGACTTTCTGTCTGCTTGCTAGTTTTGGTCGCCTAACATCCTGCTGTTGTCTCCAGGGCACTGTGAAACCAAATACATTTCTCTCATCAGCATGTGTTTCTCTTTAGTATCTCTCCGCTAGAAAGGCAAAGCCTTTTTCCTGAATTCTTCTCCCAAGAGACAGGAAAAGGAGTGGAAAAGGCCCAAGAGCTGAGTTCTCAGTCCCTCCTATGTTCTTCTTCTTCCCTGCTGCTTTTTTTTTTTTTTTAGAAGCAAGCAAAGGTGATACATTCTCTTTTTAAAGAAACTACCCCTGTTCCTAACAGCACCCAGAAATTCTGTCTCTTTGAGGCCCTCCTCCTTGGGCATTCCTGGCTACCCCCACCAGACCTTGGGGCCCCAGGCACAAGCGCCTTACCTTCTTTGATCTTCTCTGTAGCTGACTTTCTGGAATGGTCCCTCTGGCTAGGGTTACCTCTCTCAGCTCTTAGCTCAGAGCCCCTGGGGTTACCAGACAACCGGGTACCGCCCTCAACGCCTAGGGAATTCTTTGATTGACAGCTCAAATATCCTATCTTAGTGCTGAACTCTGCTGGTGCTTGGGCACAGATACCTGGATTTCTTTGCCCTTCCTGCCCCATCTCTCCCCACTCTTGTAGACGCATGCTTCAAGTCCTTCACTTCAAGCAAGAATCAAAGCAGCAAGGGCTTGTTGCTAGTTATAGCTTCAAAGACCATCTATCACATTCCCTCATTTCACAGAGGAAGGGACCTCTGAAGAACAGGTGTGACTTGCCTGAGGTCACAAAGCAGTCATGAGGCTGAGATTAGAGCCCAGGTGTTCCGATTCTGGGCTAACTAGCCTAAGGTCCCTTCCACTAACCATGATAACCGTGATTGCAAGTTTTAATGAGGTGTGGGTTGTCCCAGCAGTGAACCCTTTCACACACACATGAACACACTCATACACTGTGCTTCTGTGTGGTAGTTTTACATTTGGGAAGAGGGTGAAAAGTTGATGGTCAGGAAAGGCCTGGAGATCAGAAGAGCCTCTCTGCCCCCGGACTCCTTTTCCCAGCTCCACTGATCTGCAACCTCCAGGTTCTGCTTAATGAGAGAACAGCAGGACCCAGGAAAACAGGCACCTACTGCCCTAACTCACCAAGGGTGGCCTGCATCAGATAGCAAATGTCCTCATTTATCTAGGAGAAAGGCCTCTTTTAAGTAGAGAGGCCATGGACAGAAACACAATTATAAGGAAGTAGTTGGGCTCACCTGCATTTGCCAGGCAGACTTGGTTGAGTGCCTGCCGTGTGCAAGGCCAGTGCTGTGTGCCACAGATAGTGCCCATGCCCGAGGCAGGCTCTCCTAGCTGCCTGCCACTTCTGCCCATGGGCTGGGCCTTCAGGATGCTACCACAGCATAACCAGAGTCAAATATGCTGCTCAGTCTGTTGCTCACTGAGCAGCCTCTCTTAAGGGAAAAAAAAATGATTTGGGAAGGGGGCAGGGACTGAAACTGATCTCACCAAGGTTCCAATGACCTCTTAATAATCTAGTGATCATTTCTGGATCATTTTTCTTGTGTGATTCCCTGCTGTATCTGACATATCCTTACAAGTCTCTGCTTACATGGCTCCATGAGCCACTGTGTCCTGGCTCTTTCTCCTGTGCTAACAACTCCTTCTCCATCTCCGTCGCTTGCTTTCTGTCCCCTTCTTTTTTTTTTTTTTAAATTTTAATTCATTTGGCTGCACCAGGTCTCAGTTGTGGAATGCAGGATCTTCGATCTTTGTTGTGGCATGTGGGACCTTTAGTTGCAACATGCAGACTCCTTGGTTGCAGCATGTGGGATCTAGTTCCTTGACCAGGGATGGAACACCTAGGCCCCTACTTTGAGAGCATGGAGTCTTAGCCACTGGGCGACCAGGGAAGTCCCTGTCCACCTCTAAAATACCAGTGTTCCCCAACACTCTGCCCTCTGCTCCTTTCTTACTTTACATATTCTTCCTCAAACACTTACTTCACCCAGTACTCTGAATTTTTTTAATTGAAGTATCATTGATTTATAATCCTATGTTAGTTTCAGGTGCACAGCATAGTGATTCGGTATTTTTGCAGATTATAACCTATCATGTGCTGTGCTTAGCAGTTCAGTCATGTCTGACTCTTTGAGAACCCTTGGACTGCAGCCCGCCAGGCTCTTCTATCCATGGGGATTCTCCAGGCAAGAATACTGGAGTGGGTTGCCATGTCATCCTCCAGGGGATGTATCCTATTATAGGCTATTATAAGATATTGGGTAGAACTTCCTGTGCTATACAGTAAATCCTTGTTGCTTTTCTGTTTTATGTATAGTATTTATATCTGTTTCTCTCATACACTTAATTTGTCCCTCTCCTCTTTGGTCACCAACAGTGTGTTTTCCGTGTCTGTCAGTCTGTTTCTGTTTTGTATATATATTCATTGTATTATTTTTTTATATTCCACATATAAGTGATATCATATAGTATTTGCCTTTTTCTGTTTGACTTATTTCACAAAGCATTATTATTTCACTGCTCGTAACAGCAGCAATTATCTGCTCCCTCTGTGTATCACTGGCCTCTGAGTCACTTGATTATGTGTTTATCACTCAAAGCAAGTTTCTTTAGGGCATTAACTGTGTTTGTTTATCTGTACATTGGGCTTCCCTGGTGGTGCTAGTGGTAAAGAACCCGCCTGACAATGCAGGAGACATAAAAGATGCAGGTTAGATCCCTGGGTCGGGAAGATTCCCCGGAGGAGAGCATGACAATCACTCTAGTATTTTTGCCTGGAGAATCCCATGGACAGAGGAGCCTGGCGGGCTACAGTCCACAGGGTCGCAAAGAGTTGGACACGACTAAAGCGACTTAGCACGCACGCATCTCTGCATCAGCACCACCTTGTTCAGCGCATAGCACAAAATAGGCCCTCAAGTTAGCGAGACCAAAGAACACTATAGAGCGGGAGTGGGGTTAATGGGAATATTAGGGGGAAATGAAAATAACAGGGGCAGGAGCAGAGGCTACTTGAAATAAGACGATTTAGCAGCGAAGAAGCCCTGGAGAAATAGCGACCCAAAGTACCGCAAGAACGGGAACGGTCCTCCCAGCCTTGAGCGGTATCCTTCTTACCTGGTGTCACACCTCCAAAACCTGGTACTACAAATCCCAGAGCCCCCTGCGGCATAGACCGGAAGTATCCTGTCCGCCTGTGGCAACGGTGAGGGGCGGTGGCTGGGCGGCGGGAGATTCAAACCTGCTAGGAGGAGGAACATGGAGCGGAGAGGAGCGGGCCCGGGCCAGACGATCTGTGAGTGCTAGAAGGGGCCGAGTAGGATCCGGTTGTGGTGCCACTGGTCGGGGACACGGCGGTCCTGGGAGAGGTTGGGGCTGGGGCTGGGCGTGGTACCCGCTGGACAAGGGGCAGCCGGACTGTGTTCAGAGGAGAGGGAGCACCCAGTTCGGACTCTGGCGGGCAGGAATAAAGCTGTGAGCTGCGAAATGCTCTGACTTCTGTGTCGCGTTTCAAAGCTTACAAAGAGTTTTCTCCCTTATTCCCAAATTCTGGGGCTCCGGGGCTGGGAG